TGCGCATTCAGCCGACGGGGAGGAGAAGAGGAGGATCGGAGGAGAGCTCTCCGCCCAGCGCTGGAAAAGGTAAGTTTTAACCCCTTTCCAGAGACGGGCAGGAGGGGGACCCTGAGGGTCGGGGCACCCTCAGGGCACTATAGTATGTTTTCCTGGCACTATAGTGGTCCTTTAATAGTCCTAATGATTAAAACAGTTAAAACGGACAGGAAAAATTGGGGAGACCAGGGTAGAGGGAATGGTGTGTCAAAGCACAACCAGACCCAGACTACTATCCAGTTTGGCTATTTTGACCTAACATTTTAAATAATCTCTGATGTTATAATAAATAACCCTAACCCTAGGCAATTTTCATACTTTTATTTGCATTACTTTTATTACACAACTTACCTAAATTTGTGTTTTAAACATTCTGTATTTATGGAGATGCTTTTTAATTATTTGTATCAAGTTGAAACTTTTGCCCAGATTTTCATGTCTATATATCCATCATAGAGTCTCAGATTGTCCTTCAACACTTTCCTACTTAGAAATATATATTAGCTTTGATTAGTAGGTTATGGGCCTCAATTTATTTATATATAATATTTACAGTTACAAAAAAAAGTATGTGAACCCTTTGGAATGATATGGATTTCTGCACAAATTGGTCATAAAATGTGATCTGATCATCCTCTAAGTCACAACAATAGACAATCACAGTCTGCTTAAACTAATAACACACAAAGAATGAAATGTTGCCATGTTTTTATTGAGCACACCATGTAAACATTCACAGTGCAGGTGGAAAAAGTATGTGAACCCTTGGATTTAATAACTGGTTGAACCTCCTTTGGCAGCAATAACTTCAACCAAACGTTTCCTGTAGTTGCAGATCAGACGTGCACAACGGTCAGGAGTAATTCTTGACCATTCCTCTTTACAGAACTGTTTCAGTTCAGCAATATTCTTGGGATGTCTGGTGTGAATCGCTTTCTTGAGGTCATGCCACAGCATCTCAATCGGGTTGAGGTCAGGACTCTGACTGGGCCACTTCAGAAGGCGTATTTTCTTCTGTTTAAGCCATTCTGTTGTTGATTTACTTCTGTGCTTTGGGTCATTGTCCTGTTGCAACACCCATCTGCTGTTGAGCTTCAGCTGGTAGACAGATGGCCTTAAGTTCTCCTGCAAAATGTCTTGATAAACTTGGGAATTCATTTTTCCTTCGATGATAGCAATCTGTCCAGGCCCTGACGCAGCAAAGCAGCCCCAAACCATGATGCCCCCACCACCATACTTCACAGTTGGGATGAGGTTTTGATGTTAGTGTGCTGTGCCTTTTTTTCGCCACACATATTGTTGTGTGTTTCTTCCAAACAACTCAACTTTGGTTTTATCTGTCCACAGAATATTTTTCCATTACTGCTGTGGAACATCCAGGTGCTCTTGTGCAAACTGTAAACGTGCAGCAATGTTTTGTTTGGACAGCAATGGCTTCCTCTGTGGTATCCTCCCATGAAATCCATTCTTGTTTAGTGTTTTACGTATTGTAGATTCGCTAACAGGGATATTAGCATTTGCCAGTGACTTTTGTAAGTCTTTAGCTGACACTCTAGGATTCTTCTTCACCTCATTGAGCAGTCTGCGCTGTGCTCTTGCAGTCATCTTTACAGGACGGCCACTCCTAGGGAGAGTAGCAGCAGTACTGAACTTTCTATATTTATAGACAATTTGTCTTACCGTGGACTGATGAACAGCAAGGCTTTTGTTGATACTTTTATAACCCTTTCCAGCTTTATGCAAGTCAACAATATTTAATCATAGGTCTTCTGAGAGCTCTTTTTTTTTTTTTGAGGATAAAGCAGGTTATTACAGGGTTTGCATTGAATGTTTAAATGTTACCATAGGTCCTATAACAGGTATGACATATGACATTCATATATTTGTCCTCTTTTTTATTTAAGACATGTTTGGGTCAACTAAGGAGTAGTATAACATGTGTTGGGGGTCCAGCTGCGCTCCTGTGTCAGGGTGTGTACGTTGTGTTTGTTTTTTTTAGTAGCAGTCTCCCAGGCAGGGTGTGCGTTTGGTTTTAGGGTTGTGATTGTGTCCCATGGTATAGTCTCATGGGGAGGTCGACCTAGAGGTGGGTAGGACTGTATTAGTGTCTGGTTGCCCTGTCTGTGAGTGCTCTGGTGTCTGTGGTTGGACCCGTGTTGTGAGGTTCGTCCTCTGGGTTCAGGCAGTGCGGGTGTCGGTGAGTCGTATTGAGTACGGTATTGTTGGGCCAGGTATGTGTGCTGTCGCTCAGAGTGTAGGGGTACCAATGACGGCACTCAGTGTGACATGGGTGTGTGTGGTTAGTGGTCGTAGGATGTCGTCCCCTAACCTAGGGGGACACGGGGGGGGGGGAGGGTACTATGGGTTGTGAGAGTCTGTCTCTCGGCCTCAGCAGGTGATAGAGCCTGCATTAGTTGTTGAGGAGCCCGTTGGGGTTGCTAAAATGTTCGGTCTGGTAAGGTCCGTTATCCGTCATGTGTTTGCAGCATTGGGGGGAACTAGTGTGGGGTTCACTTTAAACCTGGGTAAATCATAGTGGAACAAAACATAATGCTTGTGTGAGAGCTGGTCATCTCAAGTTGGTGCCCCTCTATCCTTCCGTCTCCTGGGGGTGAATGGCATTATACTGTCTGGATCCCAAGCGTGGGGGGTGGAGGGGTTCTCCGCGTTTGCGGGTCTCGTGTGTAGCCCCAGGGCTTGCAAAAATGAGTCTGCCTCGTTAAGTGAGGAGAGTTTATGGGTGGTGCCCCCCTTGGTTACTATCAGGGCTCTTGGTAGTGTCCATCTATATTCAATGTCTGCTTCTTGTAGTCTCCTTGTCACTGGGCCTAGGGACCGGCGCCATAGGAGTGTGTTCCGCGTGAGATCGTGGTAGAATGAGAGGTATGAGTCCTCAAAGGGGAGCGGGGTCTTCCCCCTGACCGCAGCCATAAGTCGGGCTTTATCGGTCAGAGATTGACAGCGGATGATGATGTCCTGGGAGGCCGTTTGTGGGGCCTGTCTGGGTTTATTGATTCGGAAGAATACGTCAAGTGCTATCTTTTTTGCCTGAGCGGGCGGTAAGAGCGTGCTGAAGAGCCGCCTAAGGTAATGGGCCAGTTCAGTTCAGGGATCCCCCTGATTTTGATATTAGCGCGCCTGTGGCGGTCTTCTGCCTGATCTACTCTGGTGGTTATGGTAGTTTGGGAGGTTTGTAGGTGTTGGACCATTTCTTTTAGGCTTTGTACCTTTTTCCAGAGATCTTGTATATCTTCCTCTGTGGCCTGTGTGCGTGCGGTCACCAGTTGTAACTCTGTTTTGATCAGGTCCATATCTGCAGCGTGCATCTGCCGTATTTCTTGGAGCAAGTCTGCAATATCTTGCTTAGTGGCTGGGTTTAGGTTTTCCCTTCTCTCTACTGTGGGGTAGTGTGGCTGTTGGGGTTCTGTCATCTCTTCAGACCGCTCCTCTGGGTCTTCCAGGTTGCGGACACTATCAGGTGGGTTCACCATTTTGGAGGCCATTGGGCGCTACAGCATGGTGCTGATATCTAGGGAGTCCCTATTAGCTGCCTGTGGGGGTTTCTGTGACCTTCGGCCCATGTTGCTTGATTCCCGGTGAGGGGTTTCCCCGTGGGTCAGCAGCGGGCTGGATAAGGCTGCCGCCAGTGCCAGTAGGTCTGGTGCAGGCCTTGCCGTGCGGTATTCCTGGTAGGCCCTCGATCTCCGCCGGGTTTTTCTGCCCCTTTGCGGGAACAGAAATGGCATCTGTGTCCGGCTCACCTCCGTGGGGTGTGAAGGGTAGGTGTTGTCGGCATGTAGGGTTCTGTGGGTGGTAACGGGTAGTATCCTCATCCACGGGAGCTCGTAAAAGTTGCTGCCATTCAGTACGGATGCTTGGCTCCGTCCTGAGAGCTCTTTTGTGCGAGGCATCATTCACATCAGGCAATGCTTCTTGTGAAAAGCAAACCCAGAACTGGTGTGGGTTTTTTTTATAGGGCAGGGCAGCTGTAACCAACATCTCCAATCTCATCTCATTGATTGGACTCCAGTTGGCTGACATCTCACTCCAATTAGCTCTTGGAGATGTCATTAGTCTAGGAGTTCACATACATTTTCCACCTGCACTGTGAATGTTTACATGGTGTGTTCAATAAAAACATGGCAACATTTCATTCTTTGTGTGTTATTAGTTTAAGCAGACTGTGATTGTCTATAGTTGTGACTTAGATGATGATTATCAGATCACATTTTATGACCAATTTGTGCAGAAATCCATATCATTCCAAAGGGTTCATATACTTTTTCTTGCAACTGTAGTTACACCAGTATTGTTCTTTATAATATAACCAGAACATTGGTATAAACACCTTCAATATGTTAAGATTGCCTCTAGGTGTCACTCTTTGCCAAGAAATGAAAAAAAAAAAAATGAAATTGCTGTACTCATTGTTAAACTATGATTTTTTATAACATGACAGAAGGCGAATATTTTGTATTAAACTCTCTTTACTAAACTCCAGCAGCACAGATTTAACAATAAAAGTTTAATCAAATGAAAACAACATATTGCAGCACTGTATAAAAGGCCCTTTCCTCTTTAACTCCTTATGTTTCTTTGCTGCTCCTGCTAGCACAGGTCAGAGTATTTTGTTCCTACATATCTTATTACTATATAGACTTTTATGCCATCGTTTTAAAATATTGTTTATCTGGTACTATTTTTAGCTATTATTGTGTACGTGTTTACTTGTATCCCTTTCTCTTCCCCCTCTATTGCTGTTTTTTCTAGGCTTGTCAGGTCTGGGCTGCTACAGCTAGCCCTTATACCTGCTGCCTTTGTTGACGCGTCGCGGCTGCCATTGCCGCGATCGCGCTGCTTTTTAGGAACTTTATCGTTGGTTTAAGAGTCTGGGTGGGTGCTGAGGGTGTTAGGGGTGCGAGATTGTTTTTTTTCAAGCCGACAAGGCTGCGATTTCGTGGCCACACTGTCCAGGATTTGGGTGCGAATGGTGGCCATCTTGAATCTTGCAAGATCCTCGGCACCCATTTTAGGCTGATCAGATCTCAGAGGTATAGCTCCGCTGTATAACTGGGGTGAACCCCACATTCATGCGTCCTGACCATTTGGCGGGCAGCTTTAATTAAGGGTGACCCCCTCCATTGGTACCTGTCCCATCCTACGGGATGATACAGAGGTTACCCCCCTACTGATTTATAGGACTGTCAGTGTCTCCAATTTTACCAAGTAGAATCACCTTGCATATATATATATATATATATATATACACACGACTGCAGGCACCGGTTGCGAGAGTGAGACCCTCTCTCATTTGGCACTCCTATCACTCTGTGTATACTATTATAGGGCACTCAAATTCTGGGAGCATTTCTGGTGCACACGGTGTCGCTCACAAGTATCCCACTCTGCCATTACAGGTCCCAACTCAAGACTTCTAAAGCATGATAAACACGGCTATTGCATCCTCGGTGGAGAAGGCGCTTTCAAGAGTGCGAACCCTACCACTGGAAAGCACAGGTCAAATTCCACAGGACACTCATGATGTGGAGGTTGCAGAGAGCTTGGAGACAACCAGAGTTCCCACATAACCACCTTAGCTGACAGTTGCTTCAGCGTCAAATCTTGATTCGGATACCAAGACGACAGGAACTGTAAAACTACATTGATGTCCCAAAAGGCAACAAATATAGCTCTAGGTGGTCTGGGTGCCGACCGACATGTGAACTATCCAGACTATGATGTCCAGCCGAAAGGCACAGATTGATGGTGAGATACGCCTTCCCCGACTCAAACATACTAGTAAGAAATTCTAGAATCATATGCAGAGGGGCAGATACGGGATCCATAGTTCTTTCCAAGCACCAACCAGACCACATCCGCCAAGTGGACCGGTAGGCCAATCGAGTGCCTAGTGCCCAAGTATTGTCGAGGAGGTTGAGAGTTGACTGCGGAACTCCCAAGATAGTCCAAGGTCCCCTGAAAGGAGCCATGCCATTAGATGTAGAAGGCCGTGATCCACTAAATCGTGTGAGTTGCCATCCAGATCCACCAGGAGATTCGGAAGACTCAGAATCAACCGCGGGTAATCTATTGCCAACTCCAGCAATCGATGGAACAAGGGTCGTGATCGCCATAAAGGAGTGATCAACACCATCGTACAATCGTGGCGGGTCAACTTTGAGAGCGTGTGAGCTATCAAGTTGAATGGGGGAAATGCATACATTCGAGCCACTGGCCAATCCTGAACGAACGCGTCCGTCTCCAACTGTAGAACCTCGGCAACTGGGCATTGAGTCAGGATGCGAACAGGTCCACCTTGAACGGCCCCACAATCGTTCCAATCCCATAAACGCCGAAGCGCCAGTCTCCAGAGTCTCTCAAATAACGTGAGTTCCAATTAGCCGTCGAATTGTCCAGGCCCGGAATATGTTCCGCCTTCACTGAGACGTTGTTGCGGAGACAGAACTGACAGAAGTCCTTTGCCAGGACTGCCAACAGCGTGACTTTGTGCCCCCGAGGTGGTTAATGTAACGCACCGCGGACACACTGTTCATCTTGAGCATCACGCAGCAGTTCACTCGACTGAGGGTAAGGCTGCGAATCGCAAAAGCCCCTACTAACAGTTCCAGACAGTTGATGTGCAACGTCTTTTGGAAGTCCTACCATCTGCCTCGGGTGGAAACGGTGCCACAACGCGCACCCCAGCCATTTAAGCTAGTGTCCGATTCGATCACAACGTCTGGGATCGATCCGGAGATGGCTCTGCTGTTCCAGGCTTCCATGTGAGCCAGCCACCAAATTAGTTCATCTCTGGACTCGTCGTCCAGCCTCAAACTTGTCTCACAGGAATGACCTGAACGGAGGTAAGAACCTTTGAGCCGTTGGAAGGCCCGATAATGAAGCGGCTCTGGAAATATTGGTTGGATCGAAGCCGCGAGCAGGCCGATCACCCTTGCCAAATATCGGATAGACAGGTCTTCTGCTCGCAGCGTTCGCCTGATTTCCTTCTTGATGGCTTTCATCTGGGTCTCTGGGAGAATCAGGAACTGACTGACAGAGTCCACTGTGAAACCCAAGAATTCTACTGACTGAGCGGGGATCAGTACTGACTTTTCCCAATTGATCAGGAAGCCCAGGTTCTGAAGTAATGTAGTTGTCCAGCCGACATGTAAGCTTAGTTGATCCCTTGATTGGGCCATGAGTAAGATGTCGTCTAAATATATAATCAGACGAACACCTCGGGTCCGGAGGAACGATACCACTGGCTTCATGACTTTGGTGAAACAACAAGGAGCCGATGAGAGCGTGAATGGTAGACATGTAAACCTCCACCGCTTCCCTCTCCAGGTGAATTTGAGAAAATCCCTGTGTTCCTCGGCTATAGGAACCGTGAAATAAGAGTCCTTCAAATCTAGCTTGGCCAGCCAGTCCGACGCCTGGAGGAGGTCCCGAAAGCAGTGGGGCAATAAAAGAGCCTGCGCATACGTCTGGGAGAACGATGACGACACCGCTCCCATAGCAGAGTCAAAGGCCCTTTGGAGAGAAGACGTCATTGTGGAGTCTAAAAGTGCTTGAAATTCCTCAGATGCCACATGCTCCTCAAGCACCCCCTGAGGGAAGTCATTAAGCTGGCCCTCAGGCCCATCACGCTTAGCCTGCATAATATGTTTGATAGGTTAACTGACCGAGAGGAAAAATGCCTGCAATAGAGAGAAAAAAAATAAATATACAGGAAAGAAAAGGATAGGGTTTAATAACCCATAGAAAACATACACAGAAAAAACAAAAATGCACTAAAATAAAATCATATGGCATATATGATACAGTACCTGATAGGTGGTGTGCCCAGGGGAACCCAGAGTTAAACAGCCTCGAGAACAGGGGATAGGAAGAAACCCTGCCGAAAAACGCGGTCGGGAGGTGAGAAAATGGCTGCTGCACGAGGCAGGATGCAAGCAAAGTTAGATTAGTACACAGAAGGGGAGTGGAAGGACGCGCGTGAAAAAACCACACTGCCTGACCTTCACACATGTGCCCCTGAGCCACCATTTAAAGTAAAACCCTGGTAGATAATGGAAGAAACTCTTAAGTGACAAACTCCACATTAAGACTTCACCTGGATTTTGGGCAATCAGCAAACAGTTTGCATTCTGCAAATCAAAATAAACGAAATGAACAAAACAGTTTGTTTCCTGATTCAAAGTTCCGTCCATGAAGAAAAAAAAATAATTAAAAAATTGATAATATTGATGGTTAGGGAACAACCACTCAGTTTAGATTTTATTCACAGATCAAATGAGAAGTGACTAGTAGAGGGGGGAAAAACAGTTAAAAACATTATTTAAGGGAACACTATAGCATTAGGAATACAAACTGTATTTCTAACACTATAGTGTCCCTCTGTATCCATACCACCCCCTCCTCTCCCAGTGTTGAAAGGGTTAAAAACCCTTTTATCACTTACCGGATTCTGAAACTGCAATGTTTTACACTGTGGGATTAAAGGGACAAGGACGCTGCATTCAGGCCACTTCAATAAATTAAGTGATCTAGGTGCCTATAGTGTCCCTTTAATATAATTTATATCATAATATAGATTAACTCTCTATTGGTTAAAGGAACAATTTTTAATTGTTAGTAGGGTTATTGTATTATTTATATATTTTGCAGTACACTAATAGGCTCATATTTTAGTTTTGTTTTTTGCACAAATCTTTTTCCGAAGAATAGATGAACTAAAAGGTCTTTGCTGTGGACATGTCTAACATGCAGTAATCATGTAGATCAGTGGTTCCCAACCTTGTTTTATTTGAGTACCCCCTGGCAGCCCATTTCCATAAATTATACCCCTTATATTAGCACAATGTTTAAGAATATAGTTGCTATTTCAAATGTAGATTTTTTTTCTGCCCCAGGCTCCACCTGTTCTTCCTCTGGCCTAAGCTCTGCATGCTTCTTACAGTGCAGACACACACACACACAATCCCACAAAGACACTGATACACATGCACACACACACAAATGTACAGATAGAGATCCAAACAATAACCAACTGACACAGATACAGACATACAGATACAAACATGCATATAAACATATGGATATAAACACTTACACATACAAACACAGACACACATACAGATGGAAAGATACAACTACAAACACTGCCACAAATGCAGATACATCAACACAGAGATGGAAACACTGACACATATGCAGATACAGGCACACAGACACACACACTGCTATACAGATACAAACACTGCCACACATACGGATAACCAGACATAGATACATTAACACACAAAGTTGCGCAGACACACATGCAAATACACACACTGCCACACATATAGAAGTACAGATACACACATAAAAACGCTGCCACACCTGCAGATACAGACACACAGATAGAAACACTGCCACACATACACAACGATACAGATAAACAGACACACACACTGACACTCATGCAGAAACACAGATACAAACATTGCCAAACATACAGATAAAGGCTCACAGATACACACATACAGATGTACAAACACTGTCGCACATGCGGATACACACACGGTCACAAAGACTGACACACATGGACAGACAGATAAACACTGCCACACATGCAGATACACATATGCAAACACTGACATGCATACAGATGCAGACACACACACATACAGATACACAGATACAAACAATGACACACATGCTAATACACACATTGCCACACATGCAGATAGACACACAGATACACAGACACAAATAGAAACACTGACACACATGCAGACACATGGACATACAGATATACACACTGACACAAACACTACATACCCTCCAGTTTCCTACCTTATGGGAGGAAAATGATGGCTTCTGCTGGGACTGTTGGGAGTTAATGAGCAGACAAAGCCAAAGGGTGGGATTAAGGTTCAGTTGGCAGGGTTATGCCTTCAGAGGCGTTGTAATGCTGGCAAGTGACAGCGTTATGCGGGCAGATGAAACGTAAACCAGCAATCAAAGGGAATTGAGATATTGTGGGTGTGTGGGGTCAGGCAGTACCAGCTCACGGCCCCCATTCCTCCCACGCTATAGAGTTTGTTTGAGCTAGAAGTAAGTGCCTGGCTCTCTTTCACTTCCTCCCAGCTCAGCTTGCATATAAGGGGTCTGAACACTCTAAAACACCACAGTGCAAAATATATCGTGTGGCCCTACGTGCATGGGCCACTTGGGAACCTTTCACCCAAGTTCCCAACTTGTGCTGTGCGCCATTACAGATTTACTTTTTTTGCGTACCCTCAGCGGTACTGGATTGTACCCCTGGGGGTACACGTACTATGGGTTGGGAACCCCTGCTATAGATCACCAATAATATGCAGGCTGAACATTTTACTAGAAGACAGGCATAAACATTTCATCTGTAGGGTTTATCTACAAGACAGGCATAAACATTACAGGCTGTAGGGTTCAAGTCACAGGCGGTAGAAGTAAATTTCTAATCGCCAACGTACAATTTTCTTTCGCCAATGGCTAGTGGGCGACTGGACATTTTGGCCCTTGATAACTGCCTTAAAGGGACACTCCAGATCCCTAAATCGCTTTAGCTTGCCCAAGTGCTTTATGTGTGAAAAGTATTTTCTCTTTTTTTTTTTCCATTTTACAAAAAGTGCAGATTTCAGCAGAAATTGGCACTTTTATAAATTAACGTTACAACCACCTGGCTCTCAAACAGACAACTGTTTTTGTTATTTCCCGGTAGTTTAGCTCAGTGAAGCTATACTTAAAAGGCAGGCAAGTGCCCAGAGCACCTAACTTGCAAAGAGTTTGAGCCGTGCTGGAAAGTCTGTGATTGGACACACACGAAGTCTAAGCTGGGTTGTAGAAAGATGGCTTGCAAAAGCCGCAAACAAGAAACATGTAGGTTTAGCAATCTGTTTGTTTTGTTTTTTGCTGTACCCCCTCACTTACAGTCACTGTATAGGAAATGTATCCAGTGGATGTCTGGCAGAAAGCCACAGGAGGTGTGTTTAACCCTGCAATGTAAGCATATCTATTTTTAAAAAATGCAATGTTTTACATTACAGGGTTATAGCTACAGGACCACTGCTCCCAGACTGCTTTATTGAGATGATGTGGTCTGTTTTAAGTTGTCCTTTAAACTGTACTTTGAAAAATAAAATACAAACTCCAGACCAATATGTTTTTGGATTTAGAAATTCAGCAAAGTTATGGTCAACGTATGAATATTTTAGCCAGAATTTAGCAGTTTGTGTTTCAGGAATAAGCACTTGCAAGTACACACTATCAAATATATCTAAGAGGCTTCATGGCTCAGAGGCATGGTAAATAATATTAAATGCCACATACATTGACATGGAAAAGCAGAAAAAGTTCACTTGTATAAAATGTTAGAATTAAAAATATAGACCCTGTACCCAACCTTTGCAGGTCATAGGTTTTTGCTATTAGTGGGATATTTTGCAGAAAAACAAGGAGGTATATTATTAAAACTATTAAAAATGCTTTTTTATTAAATATACTAAAATATTGAAGATAAAAACACTAACGGCTCATCTTTTCATACAGGAAACTACTCGTCTTACATTAATCTTCTGAACGTTCACTTAGGAAAAAATTAATTCTAGATTCTGTATAGATGCAACAATATGGCATATAAAGCTCTTAGCAATCAATAAGCTAGAGACACGGATTAAACTGTATCGGAAGGAGGTGTTTTTTTCCTTATGCAAATTGCAAAAAGTAACATAACCAAATTAAACCATAATACAAAACTCAACCTCTCTATATCTCAATAGCTGTATAGACCAACATAAACAAGTAAACCGGCAACCTCAGAGTGTTTTCTCTGTTATTATATGGCTAGCACTAAGGAGGGCTGATGTCCACTAACAGCTGAAGGGACACATTTTTGACAACCCCTGGGCCAGTATGTTTAAATACTTTATGATAAGGTGTCAGGTAAACCCATTTAGGAGAGTCGACAGGTTACCTGTCATGAAGAGGTTAATGTTCTGCGGTTAAGCATTTAATGAAATAATTAAAGTAAAGCAGAGTTAAAGTAGATTGGACAGCTGTTAACCAGGGCATCATGTTAGGGACTTCTCCAAAAAAACTGTCACAGAAGTTTCTTCAGGCATAATAACCGCTATAGTGTGCGGTTGTGGTTATGGTTTCAAAGTGTCCTGGAGCCCTCCAATGTGAAGTATATAAAAAAACAAACATTATAAAAAGGTTGACTTATTACCGCTTCTCACCTACACTACAGTTACAGGAGTGTCAGAAGCACTCTGTCTGAACTAAGCCTGGCGGTGCAGTCCTTACCTTGTTGCCTGACATTCTCAGCCAATAAGCTGGCACTGCAGGGCTTAGTTCACAATTGCCAACTGAAGCTCCTAAGCAGTAGCTAACAACTCTATGTTAACTGAAGTGGAAGTGGGAAGCAGCATCAACCGAGGTCAGGTATGAAGGAATTTTGTTCTAATAACAGTTTAACTACTTTCAATAATTACTGCAGCACACTGTAGTGGTTATGGTTTTTGGAGTATTCCTTTAAACCCATTGAATCCAGTGTCAATTCAAATGACAGCTTATTAGGAGATATGGTAGGATGAATGTTTTAAGAGACTGCTCTTTTTCAAGCATGAACTGTACTCTGTAAAATATGTGTAGTTTGAATAAACATTGTTTAGTTCAAGTTACCATAAACAATTTAAAGCAGATCAGGCCCGATATGTTTAGTTTCCTATACCTACACAAAAGGTAGTGCACTTACTTGACACATTGGTAAACAATGGGTAGGTAGGGAGGGAATTAAAAACAAAAAAAGAGCTTGCAGCACTTAATTTAAAAATGCACCATAAACTCACCTGTAAGAACATTTTGATTCTGCCCTTTGAATCATAGATAAAAGGAAAAAGAGGGAGTGAGGCATCATGCTTAAGGCTTTACTTTGTATCAGTGACAAATCTTTATATTTATCCCCCCCCCCTGCAAAAATGTATTTCAGTCCTTTGAGATACACAACATGCGCACCTGACTTCTGCAGGACCTACACTAGTACAATAGACTACTCGCTAAAAGTAACAACTCTTCTTTCATTACATCAACATAATCTTATAAATTTCAAGTGCATTTCAGATCCTTAAAGAATGTCTTTGATTTAGCACCATTAAAGTTGAGGAGAAGAAAATAGGAACCCAATAGGAGCAGGTGCATAACTTACAATGGAATACCGAAAAACAAAACAAAAACCACTTGTTTGTGCTATACTAGTGAAAGATTGATAAAGTTGTTTTCCACCTGCTTTGGAAACTAAGGCAAACTGGTGTGCATCTCCTCTGAATAGCTCTTTTGGACATTAGTGAAGATGATTAAGTAGAGGCCATTATCAGGCAGAAAACATAAGATGAGGAAAGATATCCTAGCACCCAAACTGAGTAAAATGTTCTGACAATGCCAGCACCAGTTAAATCTCTCTTCTACCGTCATATAGCAAAATACAATAACTTATATTTCATAGGCTGAAAGGAAGGGCAAGTTCAATAAACCATTCAACAAGTTTCTTCGCTTGAGGTGGACGCAACGTCTAGATCTATAGACCCATGATTCACCACCAGGCGTAGTCTCTTGGAAGGAGTAAATGGACTGAACGAGACATTTTTTTTCTGTTCATCTTCTGTTGGGAGTTTTGCCTGCTGTGTATTACTTTCCTGAATAAAATCACCAGTTGATATTTCTGTTAGCGAGGTGTTAGAGCATTTTCCAGTACCTGAGCATTTTCGTTTTAGAGTGTTGTTCAAACCCAACTTTACATATGGCTTTAGACACAATTTGGGATCCAACTGCATTTCTACATTAAGGTGTTCTTGTATAACCAGATTACACTGACGAGGTACGGCATGGGCAGTCTGACTGGTCATCTTTACATGACCATTAAAATTCAGCTTTTCTTGCCCTGAATGAATAAAGGCTCCATTCTTTTGTCTTAAGTGATCCTTATTAATTATATCTTTCCTTTCCGTAAACTGTATTGGTCTGGACCTTAAAGAGAAAATTTTGCGCGTATATGGCTTATTTAACTGTGCAGATTCTACATTTCCAGTGTCTTGGTCAACAGTGTGGTTGAGGGTTTCATGCGTTATATTGACCTGGGCCTGAGAGATCATAGCAGGTAGAGAGTGATTATATGTATTATTTATATGGTTTGAGGTGTTTAAACTGGCGGATTTTAGATTTTGAGTTTCATATACAACAGGCTTCCCTAGATTTACAGTAACATAATGTTTTATCCCAAACTGCACAGGTGAAATATTGTTTAATTTTGATTTTGGGGCATTTGCATCATCTAGCAGACATTGGAGATTTTCAGCTTGGGAGCCTGAAGGTGGAGAATCATTGTCTATAGTCTCTAGCTGGTGATATGTTGTCCCTATATCAGGAGGTAACCCACGCTTGTCCAACAATACCACTGAAGAAACATCTTGGTCAGAAACACAGCTGGGGGTACCATCACAATTTTGTCTGCTAGTTTGGGAATCCAAATCAGTAAAAGAGAAAACTGAATGTGTTTCACAAAGCACATCCATAGTTTGCTCTTCCACACTGTTCTCTCCTACACATGTTTCAAACAAAGAGTGATCTTTGGCATTTTGTTCTAATACAACAGTTTCAACATCTTCAACTGCTTGAGACAGTATACTTGGGGTGCTTGTATCAGTCTCATTATTTGATAGGACTTGTAACTTTTCAAAGCCAAAAGTTTGCCGTCGCAGAGACACTACAGGCTCTTTTGAAAGTTTGCAGCAGTGACCACCACGTGTCCTCTGGAGATTGTAACCATCTTTACACTTCTTATAGTTATGCAGGATGATACGAACAGGTTTTAAAACAGTCCCCTTAGGTAGAGCAAATTTCAACACAGAGTATGAATTCTTTTCTTCAGAGGTCGAGTACCTCACTGGATTCAAAGTGCGGTAATTTGGAGGTGAAGTAAGTGACCTGAGTCTTGGAGACAGTATTGGATTTCTGCGGTTTGCATGCCTCTTTTTTGGACTGGACGACAGCCTGTATTTTGAACCTGAAAGAGAGAGAAATTACAAACTAATCAGAGCGTGTTATTAGTAGGTCCCCAAGCCCCAAAGGCATAATTCAAGTGGAATTTACGTACAGACACCTGTTCATATAGTAAGATGAAGTTACAAGACACTGTATAAAATTTTATTTTAAAAATAGTTTAGTATACATGTATACATGCAGTAAAATAAGATTTTAGTTTTTAGAATTTAGATTTCTAGTTTGATGAAAGTCAGAGGTATTGAACCATACATAAAATATAGTGTTCTAGCTTGGTCAAGAAGAGACTTACCAAGTTATTTATTTCAACACTGAAACATTAACTCTATCAATATAATACATAGCTTTGTCTGCTGCTTTTTAGGCAAATAATTTCGAAACATCAGTTATAGGGTTTTTTTTTTTGTTTTTTGTTTTTTTTAAAGGGACATGTACCACTTGACATTTATTTTATTTTTTTTAAACCAGCGAACACTCACACAAGCATAGAAAAATAAAATTAAAGAAGAAAAGTATGTAATAAATATTTATACACTTACTATAAATATTGTGTTTGCTTTCTCTGGCACACCTCTGCGTAGGCCTACTTCCCGCCTTTCATCAACCCCTTAATTGTCCCATCTTAGTTTCACAAGAACTAGCGCATGTATGAGAAACTACGTGCACGCTCATGACTTTATGCTAACAAAATATCAAGAGATGCTGAGACTCATGGGAATAATGACAACTAATTGTCGGCACCTCTGCATATAGTCTAGAAAGAGTAAGTACGAATTAGTTGTATGTGTTTATATTGATAAATAGACACAGTGAATTTGTATTTATAATTTTTAGCAGATATATTGAAAGGCCCTTACTTAACATGTTCAGCACTTTGGTTTTTGACACTATATAAATATAGCTTCCACTGTAATTACAGAACAAAGTCTATGCAGCACACTTGACAATATAGCATAAACAATTTTATAATGTCAAGCTTTAAGGAAAAAATTTAATTAATAAAAAGTGTAAATGTTACAGAACCCTTATTATGACATTACAAGACAGAGTTCAGAAGATGGATATCATAGTCAGTCTCTGAGTGAGACAGTGGAAATGACCGGACTATAGGTTGAAATATGAGTATTCAGCAGAGTAGATATCTATGTGTGAAAAAAAAAAAGTGAGGTGTACTATTAGGACATAACATGAAATTGCTGACATGTAAAGCTAATTGGCTAATGACATTGCCGGAGGTGGAGTTACATCTCTGGCAACTTAGTAGTTAATCTCCATATGTGCAGCATTTCTAAGCATATGTGCAGTGTTTCTAAGCGAAACGCTGCACATGCAGACTGAAGTGTTCATGTTGCTTGGAGTAACTTTGCACAGACTTCATTACTGTTACATGTACTATCATTACATAAAATGGTTTACAAAAGGCTTCGAATGATACATGGAGAGATGTGAATTAGTCAGATGTATGCAATTGCGCTACTAAATAAAGAAAACCTAAAGTCATAACACACGAACACACCCAGGAAAGTGTCATGCATGACTGCACAACGGCTGGCGTCTCCTAGGACAGTGATGGTGAACCTTTTCGAGCCAGAGTGTCCAAACCGCAATACATGACAACTTTTTTTCTTCAATTAAACCTGAATACTGAGGTTTAAAGGAACACTATAGGGTCAGGAACACAAACATGTATTCCTGACCCTATAGTGTTTAAACCACCAGCTAGCCTCCCTGGGCCTCTCATGCCTCCCTAAATATAGCAAAATCTTACTTGTATTCAAGCCTGAAGTTGTAGCTCTGCATACGGTTTGCCTCAGAATAGGAAGCTGTCTGCTGACATCATCAGAAGTGGTGGCCTGATCCAATCACAGTGCTTCCCCATAGGATTGGCTGAGACTGACAAGGAGGCAGATCAGGGGCAGAGCCAGCAATTCAAACACAGCCCTGGCCAATCAGCATCTCCTCACAGAGATGAATTGAATCAATTAATCTCTATGAGGAAAGTTCAGTGTCTGCATGCAGAAGGAGGAGATGTTTGGATGCATTTTAGGCAGCCATGACCCAGGAAGGATCTCGAACAGCTATCTGATGAGTGGCCAGTGAAGTTTTGTTTACAGCAAAAAGCCTGAGGGTAATGATTCTACTCACCAGAACAAATTCAATAAGCTCTGGTGACTATAGTGTCCCTTTAAGTTTAGAAAAAATAACTCATACAGTTGTCCAAACTAATTCTCCTCTTCTCTATCTACAGCATATCCCCCTCTCCCTCCAGCATCTCCTCCTCCTCTTCCATTCTCCCAGCAGCATCTCCTCTTCTCTCCTCCTGAATCCGATTACTTCCCGCTGCTGTGAGAGGGTGTGGGCGCGAGGGAGCACTGACTTACCTGCTGTTCCAGCACTGCTCCCTCCACTGATGCCGCCGGGAAACAGGAAATAAAGTCAATCAGGCGGCGCGCTCCCCCCCCCCCTCGTGTGTGCATGGAAAGCACAAGAAAGAAGAAGGTAAATATGGGGGGGGGAGGAACAAAACAATAATAATATTAATAATAATATTTACCTGTTTTTTTTTGCCAATTGAGTAATTCAAAGCTTAAACTTTTGAATTAGACAGTCTCAAAATAATGCATGTCCCTTTAACTAAAACTTCTCCTGAGAGCTGCCAGATTTACTGTGGTTTTAATAGGAATGTTAGAATGCAAATAGCGAACCTCCATCCGAAGAGTAATTAAAAGAGGCTGGTTTAATGTAATCCCAGAAACAAAGTCCCCAACTGCTTCCAGCTTGCTCAGGAAACAAAAAAGCAGTTGAAATAACCTACTGATTAATGCTAGGTCCTGTCTGTGTAGGGAGGCAAAAGCAGATGGTAATGGGTGTCTTTATTGTATGCCATTGTCCTTCCTAGATAGAAGAAGGGGATTTGCATGATGCGGTTTCATACGCACTTTCAAAAGGGAAAATTATAGGGTCATGGTAGTTGGAGTAGGTAATGTGGCAAAGTGACCTAGGGTTTAAATGTGTGGCATGCAAAGTGACTTTGGCAATTAAAGGTAGAAAAGTGAAATGGGGAGGCAGCTAACACTGCCCCCTGCTCCACATTTTCAGATAACGGATGTCACATACCATGGTAAAAGATAGGGCAAAAGGCAACGGAACAGGAAAGAGGTGCACATTCACCCATGCAATCTCACACAGAATCCCACATTCAAAATCCTATTTGTTGAATAACTTTTAGGCCTGGCTTCTAGGTCAGTAGTGAAATTTTGAGCTATGCTGATGAGATGTCCTCAGATTATTGATTGCTTTCCATTTCTAAAGCCATTGGAGAAATAAAAAAAAATAAAAGAATTAACATGTTAACTAACCGTGGAGATTCTTTTTTCGATTAGCACCATGCTGGTTTTGCTTGCAACTAGGCTCTTGCAACCTTAGCAGGCGGCCATCTGTCTCTCGAAGCTGGTATTTTTCTAATGAGGTAGATTCAGACTGTTCTCTTTTTCGTAGCTTGAAAGCCCCCTCCCCTCTCCTGCAAGATATAAAAAGTTTACATAGGTTGAAAGCCCCTCCCTTCTTCTGCAAGACAGTAAAAGTTTAAATTTACATAGATTGGCAACTTAATCTATAGTAATGGTCTAAACTCAATATCCAGAAATTCTTTGAACTAAAACTGAAGTGGTAATTGGATATAACAAGTTCAAGAGACAAACATATTGTGTTTATTTTATTAAGCTATTCTCTGAATATTCTGAGAATACAAGCATAAGTTAAAGGGAAACATAAATTTAATTCAATCTCCCCCATGCTTGTAAATTTAATTCATCTCCACGTCATCTTCATTGTCCTCTTTGGATGGTTGGCTAAGATACATAACAAATTTAAGGCAATCTTACAAAATCTACTGTGTTACTTTATTTCCACTTTTGTCGATGACATTTTCATTACAAAACAATTGGTGCCACACAACTGCTATTTACGATGTAGAGAGAAAGATGCATTTGAGGAAAACTCTAGTCTATAATTTACTATGCACATTAATATAAAAGAATGATCAGTAAAATAATTATAACAAAAGGAAAGCTCACCTCTCACATGTGCAGCATTCACACATCTCATTCTTCTCACCAAAAAAACTGTCTCCATAGAAACATGTAATCTCTTCATCTGGCTTAATGTCCCTGAGAACTTTCACACAAGCAGCATTCCCGTCTGTCGGCACAAACTAAAACAATTGAAAAAAAGAAAAGAAATAAAAAAGTTACTTTGGATTTTCTTTGTTGATTATACGAATACACTATTTCCTAAGGGCATCAAATACAAACACATGGATAAAACCCTGTATGCATGGTGTGGAATACTTTTTTTAACAACACAAAACTCTGATCTCTGTGTTGATGACCTCTCATGCACAGCTTACAATATGTGTTTATCAGATAGAGGTTGGATTTGTGAAGTGTATATGCCTGTAATCTTCAACATGATGTGAGCACCATGATGTATCATTCAGAGATCTGCGCAGACAGACTGTTTTTCCCATAATGCCATGGTTGCCAATGACAATCCATTCTGTTATGACTGTGATGAGCACGGTTGTCTTATATCACTTGTAAACAACCCCACAGGCATCATACATACTCTTAACAGTAATAATAATAGTCATAGTTTGCCAGCCTGGTCAATCTCAGATATTGCAGTCCACAGGGAAATACTGTGGGCTACTAGCCCATGCACAAACCCACACAGTGCTTGGCAAGCAATGGCCATATGCAAATCTTGCCTGCTGCATCACTTAAGCACACCTTCGGATATATTAACCCCTTAAGGACTGGACTGTTTTTGCGATGTTGTACATTTGCGACCAGGCATATTTTTACACTTTTGTGGTGTTTGTGTTTGGCTGTAATTTTCCGCTTTCTCATTTACTGTTCCCATACAAATTATATATTGTTTTTTTCAGGACAAAAGGGGCTTTCTTTACATACCATTATTTATATAATCTCATGTATTTTAATTTAAAAAAAATAAAAAAATATGATGAAAAATTGAAAAAATACATGTTTTTTTACTTTTACTTGAAAAATCTTTTACTCATCTACAAAAGCGAATGAAAAAAACTGCTAAATAGATTCCAAATTTTGTCCTGAGTTTAAAAATACCTAGTGTTTACGTGCTTTTTTGCTTTTTTTGCATGTTATAGGGCTATAGGTACAAGTAGGATATTGCGGTTTCAAAACATACATTTTTAAAATTTATCAATAGTGACATTGTAACACTATTATCTGTCATAAATCTCTGAATAACACCACACATGTACATATTTTTTTTAAAGTAGACAACCCAGGGTATTCAATATGGGGTATGTCCAGTCTTTTTTAGTAGCCACTTAGTCGAAAACACTGGCCAAAGTAAGCATTCATATTTGTTTGTGTGTGAAAAAAGTAAAAAAACTAAATTGAACGCTAATTTTGGCCAGTGTTTGTGACCAAGTGGTTACTAAAAAAGACTGGACATACCCCATTTGCAATACCTTGGGTTGTCTTCTTTTGCAAATGGTATGCCATCATGGGGGTAATTCTCATTCCTGGGCTACCATACGCTCTCAAAGGCAACGTAACCAACCTGGCCATTTTCAATGTAAAAATATTTGACCCATATATTTGACCTTGTAACTTTCAAAAATGCTATAAAACCTGTACATGGGGGGTACTGTTTTACTCGGGAGACATCGCTGAACACAAATATTAGTGTTTAAAAACTGGAAAACGTATCACAACAATTATATCATCAGTAAAACTGCTGTTTGTGTGTGAAAAATGCAAAAAAAGTAACTTTCACTGACAATATCATCGCTGTGATATGTTTTACTGTTTTGAATCACTAATATTTGTGTTCAGCGAAGTCTCCCGAGTAAAACAGTACCCCCCATGTACAGGTTTTAGGGTGTCGTAGAACGTTACAGGGTAAAATACAGTGCTAGCAAATTAAATTCTCTGGAATTTCGGCCTGGGTTGGCAGGCAGGTCCCTCAAATTGCAATCAATAAAATTACTGAATTATTTAAAAATATTACATAAATACGCACGTAGAATTTAAATATATATGCATATTTATATATTTGAAGTCTACGTGTATATTTATATAATTATTTATGTAATTTTGTATATGGACGTATGTATATTTCTTATTATTTTTATTTATTTTTATATACATAGATATATATACAAATTCATTCTAAGTGTATTTTGATATAAATATATATATATTAATTTTAAAATACAGTTAGAATAAAATTTCATATAGCTATATAATTTTTTTTAAATTTTTATTATTATTTTAAATTTTTTTTATTTAATTTAAATTACTTATTATTTATATTTTATAATAATATATATATACAATATATATAGTTATTATATATATTATATATATACGTGTGTAATTTAATTATAAGTGTATTTTTATATTAATATAAGTACATATTAATATAAAAATACACTTAGTATGACATTATATATATATGATATATAGACATATATTACATAGGTATAATATATGTCTATATATCATATATACACATATATAATTATTTTAATTTTTTTTATTAACACTAACTTTAATTTATTTTTTGATTTTACACTAGCAGGGAGACTGCCTGTCAGCACAGACAGTCCCCCTGCAGGCAGCACTATGGACACCTATTGTGACCATGTGATCGCTGTGTTAAGCGATCACATGGCCACAGGGGTCCTAATCTGCCGTGGGGAGACTGCCTGGGCTGCAGGCAGTCTCCCCACAACCGGAGCCACGCTGATCGCCGCCGGGGGAACGACGGCGATCAGGTAAGTAGCTCTGACCGTTAGGACGGTTCAGGACCGTCATCGTTCGGCAACGCAAAAATGCCGATGACGGTCCTGAACCGTCCTCGGTCCTTAAGGGGTTAATGTGAAAAAGAATGGAGAAACCATAACCCTGTTTTATGCTAGCGGACTAGAGTGCAGGAGTTTGATTAAAGCAACTTACAATACATTTTAATAATATATAGCTAACAATTTAAATAGAGTCTGTTATACCTTTATTATAGTGTTATCCCATGTCCAACAAGAAATGATAATGATTCTGCTATCCCCAGATTTATTCTGGTTTTCTACTTCTAGTCAGTATAAAACGTCAACAGAAAGTATTCCGCAAGCACTAACACACTGCTTGCAAGCTTTCCTGCTCAGGTTAGAGTTATTTAACAACGCACATGTGCAGGCCTGGTTAGTTGGCATTTTGTTAGCACCACTCTATGTACAGAGATCACTCTGCAATTATATATAATTTTTCAAAGGCATACCTTGCAGTTTGGCCGGCAATCTTCGAACCATTGAGGAGGAGAAGAAAAACAAAAAACAAGAGACTGTTAAAATACAAATCAAGCGTAATATCAGTGCAATCAACAGTAGGAGATGCAATTGGAATCTTATTTCATAGTCAGACCATTATTACATTATAAAAGTATGCTTTCAGTTATCAATGAAGATGCGTCTTCTACAGGTCAAGTTTGGCAAGTATAGTATCAGTATGGGAATTATCTGAGTGCACAGAGATGAAAGTCTTGCCTTGTAATTCATGCCTTTATATAAAGGACTTTGAGCACAGAGGTTTGATACAGATATTTGCAGCCTGTTGTTGAGTACTTCGGTCCAATACAATACTTCCTGTATGAAGCTGGACCAAAGACGCATGCAGGCAGTCACAGCAATCTCCCAATCAAATGCTTCTCACAGAGAAGCATTTAAACACATCCTTCTGTGATGGCTAATGCTGCATGGGCACGGGGCCTCAGGCAGCTCTATTTATGACAAGGTTTATACTTACAGGCACTAATTGCTGATGAGCAGCACCTGCAAGTCCATCACAATCAGCACACTAAGCATGCTGAAGTCACCAACTCTGGAATATATTCTGATTTAGATGGCTTGGAAGCGTGGATTAAAACTGTGCTTTCAAGCCTCAATATAAGACAATAGGTAGAACTGGAAGTTAGGACAAAAGGGGCAGCATTATGGCACTATAACAGCTTTAATAAGGTGAAGATGTTATGTGACTTACAGTATTCCCCTAATTATTACTCAACCTGTACACTACCATAGGAACATGAAGATCTAAGTCAAAGAACAATATGTAAATAAATCACCATGATTGATGAAAGCAGCAGGCCCTAACCAGAGCTGAGCACATTTCTTTCGAGTGGAGTACATTACGCTGAAATCATTCTCCCCAAAGCGCAGAAGACTTTCATCTGCTTTGGTTAGTTCAGAAATGCATCCAACAAGCAGTTCAATCTTTTCATTCTTTACCCTAAAAAATATAAAAATCAAATAAACTTATCTTACATTCAATTTTAGAAAGCTTTAAACTCATTTACAGTTTTATAAGCAAACAGTAAAAATAATCAGCGGTCAAAAGGTAGAAACACTTGCAACATTAAAAGAATTGCCAAAACACACAGACTTTATATAGCATCAATATGTTGGTTAGTATGTACAAAAAAAATATATAAATACAAATCAAATAGGAATCTGGCCAACAGCCTTTCCTCAAATGGCAAATGAACATAAACAAGGCCTTAGGCCTTCATGCACCATATGTGTAAATGTATTACTTAGTTTGCAGTTCTCAAGGACTACCTAATTGCAGGAATCACATTCTAACTTGTCCAAGAAGGAAAAACATTGTCACAAAAATATGAACGTCAGTGGTGTTTTACAAACAACAGAGAACAACTGAGGAGTTCTGTCATTTTATCAGATGCATTCAGAAGTCACTGCAGACCCCAGGTGACTAACATCTCAACACAGATGGTTTAAAGTATGAACTAAATCACTCAAAGCTTTGACACCCAGAGAATTCATTACTAAGTGCCAATTTAACTCAGACTGTGGCACATACATGGTAATTACCAGAAGGCACAACACATACAATTTTGTGACCAAATGTTTCCTGCTGTACATTGTTTAGTTACGAGGAATATGCTAGAGCTTTCTATACTTCATGATAAAATGGTTCTCTGCTATTAGGGCTTTTTTCACAACACCAGGGTTTAAACTATGGGCTTTGTGTAAGTAAAATGTGTGGAAATTTAACTTGGCTGCATGCGTTCACTGTTAGCCAAATCAATATATTTTTCAGTGATACTGCATACCTGAACAGAAAGTAGTTACTTACATTACTTCTATACCATCAATTCTAGTTTTACTAACTACTCTTACTAAAATCAGGTGGTTACCAGGAGTTAAGAAAGTACTGAGATTAGGACAAAAAGCAGTCCCATTTAAAAGCTTTTTTCGTGCAGAGATTGCTTTGTACCTACCAGCATCTAGTAGAGACTACCTTGGCTCCATTTTTTTCCAGTGAGTACCGGTTGCAGGGAAGAATCATAAAACCACTCTCTGGCAGGTACATCCGCAAATATCTAAATATCTGGAAAATATATATAAAAATAAATAATATATTGGCTATATTCCACTTAAAGGTAAATCTTAATTTACAGCTGTAGACACAGATATTTAGACTCCAAGAAAGCAGTATTGTCAAAATTAGGACAACAAAGTAGAGTTTTAAAGGGACACTCCAATGGGCAGAAGTGGTCTGGGTGCCAACTCCCACTTTTTTATAAACTGCAATAATTACCTTGCAGGGTTAACTCCACCTCTAGTGGCTGTCTAGACAACCACTAGAGGGCACTTCCTGGATTATAGCACAGAAAACCTGTGCTAGAGCGTCGCTGGACGTCCTCACGCTGTGTGAGGACCTCCAGTGTCGCTCAATTCCCCATAGGAAAGCATTTTCCTGGCACTGGAGAGTCCCTTTAACTATGCTGGAAGCTGTAATACACATTTTAATACTCCGACGTTTTGTAAGAAGAATTGATCAAACAACATGGGAAAATTAAAGCACACCCTCTTTGAATTCTATGGTTTTTACATAGCCGGACATTATAACAATCAATCTGTTCCTTAGCAGGTCTTAAAATAAGGTAAATATAACCTCATATTTACAACACATAACATATTACACTGTACCATGGTTTATTTAACATAAATAAAGCCAAAATGGAGAAGCCACATGTGAAAAACTAAGTACACCCTTACTGCTTGCAAAGGAATTTAGAGGCAAAGTAGCAGACATGTGCTGCTAGTCAAATGTCCATTGATCATTTGATCCTCAGCAAGTGTGACCACCTCTATAAAAGCCAAATTTCTACAAGTTTGCTAGTCTGGAGTATTCAGGTGTGTGTTAACACAATGCCAAGTAGGAAAGACATAAGCAATGATCTTAGAGAAGCACCTGTTGTCCATCAAACTAGGGTGGGTTGAAAGGCCAGTTCCAAACAATTTAAAGTCAATCATTTAACAATTCGAAAGTCAGACCATGCAGCGCACAGAGAAATTTCAAAAACCCAAGAGTTAAATAACAGATTCTACAGGCGTCAGTTAGCATGTTAAATGTCCAAAGGACATTATTCCAAAAGTCTTATGATTTGTTCAGATGCAACTTTGCAAACCGAAGCCGTGCTGCCATATTCTTTTTAGAGAAGAGGCTTTCTCCTGGCAACCCTGCATGGGAGACCATAATTCTGTTTTTTTCTAATTGTACAGTCATTAACTTTAACATGCTAACTAAGGCCTGCAGAGTCAGAGATGTAACCATGAATTTTATTGATACAAAATGTTTTGCACATAGGTAATGGTTAAAGTGAAGATAAAGTGTTCACCTTAAAGCAACATACAGATATATAGCCAGTAAACAGCAGAGATATATGGGAAGAAACTTACATGAGTCTTCAATGTGGTTTCATGCTGTTTTGTGCGGTTTTGGAAATACTGTTTGGCCCAATCTCCCGTTGTCAGGAGGCGAAATGCTGCATCCAGGTCCCTATTTTTACGGAATGTTTGCAATGCTTCACGCAAGTGATGCTGTCTTCTAATGGAAGGCAATGAACTGCAAATAAGAAATAAATATATATTGAATGTAGACTAATTTAGACTTGGATTCCATTCATTTTTTTCTACTTAAGCTTGTCTGTTACAAAGAGTTTTATTTACGAAACAGGGAAATGGAAAACTGATTAATTGAGGCAAAAATAGAATTGGAGATTTTTTTCCAGCCCACTACTATTTGAGTGGTATTTGGTTTTCTGAGTAAACCACTAAGTAACAGATAGATCTCCTGCATTCCTCCATCACTAAACACTTCACTGTGATAAGCAAAAACATGCATTATTTCCATTACACTGAGAGAAAGTCATTCAAAAGGTCTGTAAGGAGATTTTGTGCTTTAAAGTTGACCTGTTTGACAAGATGCTTTTCAGATGAATAATAAATTGCATCTATAACTACATTACAAAACAGATTGAATATATTTAAAACAAGGTCACCTCTGCATTCTGTAATTGTAAGCCTGGTATTAAACATATCAATCCGAAGATGTTTTATATTAACAACGTAAATGTATACAGGGTCAATAAATTCTGGTATTCAGTACACAAAGTAAGAGTTAAACTTTTATACATAGAAAAACCAGTACAAGGTTGGTTTGAAACCCTTGAGGAAGCAGCAGAGGGTTTGCACTGAAGTCTACCATACTTAAAGGAACACAATGTCAGAAATACACACACATGTATTCGGGACACTATAGTGTTAAATTATATAGGTGACCATCCCGTCTCCAATCGCATGGGAAAGGTGTTTTTACTCACCTTTTTTCCCACACCACGCCCGTGGAAATCTTGATGATCTCCCATAGGAAAGCATTGGGAGGCTATTGTGCATGCTTTGACAAACAACATCAGAGAGTTTGAAGCAAGACATAAATTGGTAGTTTCCAGGTTTGAAATTATGTATTTGCATACATTACTGTATTTACAGGAAAACACAACTCACTTCAGTTTCATTTTGTGGGTCCTAAACCCCAAATATGGGTCAAGCACCAAACTTGTTGCCAGGTCATCATTATCACAAAGTTCTTTTGCAGTTACTCGGTTGGAACCCATAGTATTAGTATCAGGCCTTGGTTCATGCTGTTCTCACCTGAAGGAAAGGGAGAAATAAAAAGGGAAAATAAATGATTATCAGGAGTGAAAAGTCAAGTAAACATCACACATCGAGAATTATGCATGTATATAAAAAAAAAAAAAAAAATAATAATTAAAAAAAAATAGTTGCACTCACTCTCACATCTATGCCTACCTCCCGACATATGAAATGGACAAAAGAAGATACCTTAGTTTTAGGGGTGCGAGTAGGGGATTTACCTAGTGCGGGGTTGAAATTAGTAAGTCATCTAAAATTTCTCAATTTTCTCAAGAACATTGAATCTTATTTACACAGACTGATTTCTAAACACATTTATCGTAATTTACATTACTGTGAGTACTATTGCTGGGGACCTTCTATACAGCTTTGTTAAACAACAACTATACGGAGCTTCAAGAAAAAAGGGACCACTGGGATGAAAAAAAAAAAAAAAAGAAGAGGGACAGAAAGATTTAGGCTCTCCTAAATACAGATACTTGGAAGGTATATCTGCGCCAGTTTCGTGTACACGTGCAGTTTTCTTCTATATAAATTAGAACATATCCCTTTAAGTCACACATTATACATTGGAGACTTTTTTCTTCTCAAATAAAATAGTTTTCCTTCACTTTTTATTCCCTTTTTGGATTTTATTTATAAATTCTGATGATTTTACTATTGATTACATTAACAAAATAAAACAAAACAAAAAAGAGTAATATTAGTGGGGAAGGCGTTTGGAATTTGAAGCAGTTTGTTTGGGGGACAAAAAAACAAATGAAACATGTACAGAACAGCTGCTTAACTGTCACACACACACATACACAAATATATATATATATATATATATATATATATATGAAAATAGTTGTTTTGACCTCAATTATTCTCTCAACAAGTTTGATTTTAAATGTCTCATCTGCCTTTTCATGGTGGGGAGACCCCAGTATTGGCATTTTTGCATGATGTAAAGGTACACTCTATTTATTATTTAATAATTATTTTATGAAGCATCTATCAATTATAACACCCTTTGATCAGTAATTTCATTCATCCCCCTTCCACTAGTGAGCGAGGGATAACTGGGCTGGTTGAGTGGGATGGGATCAATCACACTCCCCTGTATTGGACGCTGGGGAGCGATCTAGTAGCAAGCATAGCTACAGTCTAGTGATCTATACTTATTGAAAGTTTTTTGTAAAGTTCCAATTCATCCCACTAACCTACAATAAGTATAATCTCCCTTCCTGTAAAACGTCAGGGAGATCCGAGCTGGCTGAGTGTGATTGGATTAGCCATGCTCTCCCATACCCAACGTCAGAGAAAAGCTGTATAGTAAACGGTCATATCAAAGCACACTCTCCATTGTTTTTAATAATGCTGACATTTCTTTATTTTTTAGTCTCTTGTAAAAAAAATTTGATAGCCTTTTTAGGCAGAGCTGAAGCTTAGTAGTCTGCACACAGCTGGATCACCTCAATATTCACCGATACTGAAGTGCAGTAACTTATACATGGTTTGCGTTCCACTGATCACCTAGCAACTTTGGTTAAGGCACTTTGATCAGCTTGCCCACGTGCACCCGGAACGCCAGCTGCCGTCTCTCCACACATGAAGGCAGTGAGTATTCTTATGTTTACCTATATTAGTATGTTGTATATGTATGTATTTTATTGCCATCCTGATGAAAGCCCATGTATTGGGGCTGAAACGTTAATGATTTTTTTTTTTTTTTTTAATTGTATGAATTAAAAGTTATATTTTATTATACAGGACTTAAATTAAATCCTCTGAGTGCGGTCACTCCAAGTTTTTTTTTTTTTTTTTAATCAAAATATTGATATTTATTTTATTCTCATATGCAAATTGAGGCATTGTCCTTCTTGTGAGAAACTAGCCAGTTTGCTTTTCTTTTTACTCATCATATATAGCAAAACTATTTAAAAGATAACACTTCTAAAATTAAATTCTACTAAGATGTAAAATATTTTTTTATAAAAATGTGGATTTCACCAAAACTTTAAATCCCACAACTACATTTAGAAAACTGAGTATACATTTGTGTGTTTGACAAATGTTACTACAGATTCTATGAAACATGAGCTTGTTAGAGGAGTCTTGCTACATCCATGATTGTACAGACATATCTGCTTGAAAAAGCACAAATGCAGCTTTATCTAAAGGTATTAGATAATAATGTCTTACATAGTAAATAGGACACGGAGACAAGCTGCTTGTATAGTGAAGAGTGGACCCAGCAAACAACATCTTCAGTTTCCGTCAGCTCCTCTTTTCAACTCTTGTGAGTACTCAGCCATCACAGCGTTGCTGTAGGTTACTATCGCAACGCTCCACGCAGCACACATGCCAGGCTTGCGAGAGTTGGAAAGAGCAGCAGCCGCCTGCACAATGCCATCGGACCAACAGGGAGTGTAATGTCCCGCCTCCCATGCCCATTTTTTCTTTCTTTAAAGGACCACTATAGTGCCCTGAGGGTGCCCCCACCCTCAGGGTCCCCCTCCCGCCCGGCTCTGGAAGGGGGAAAGGGGTAAAAACTTACCTTTTTCCAGCGCTGGGCGGAGAGCTCTCCTCCTCCGATCCTCCTTCTCTCCTCCTGGTCTGGGTGCCTAGAGTGGTCCTTTTAAAAGCCTCCCCAGTATGCAGCCCCTATTCTACGCCACATATTTACACACACTATATCCACTACAAAAAAAAAAAAAACACACTCTGCATGTACTATACACACAGCAACTACACAGACACTCTGTATTCATTATACACCCACTACTCACACACACTGCATCCAATCCATTACACAATTATACATTACAGACACACCAACTGCATCAACTATACACACCCTCCTCAACCAGTACACACACTCTGCATCCTTTGCGAGCGGACTAAGCATGTGTCAATATGCGGACTTGGGTGCCCAGACCTTGAGATTTGTAAGGGGCCCAAACATTTCTGATAGAACAGAAAGCAAAATAATTTTAAAAGTATTCTGAATGGCTCCCTCTGGATTTTCAGAAGACATCTAGAATTAAAGGAACACTCCACACAAATAAAGCACTTGAGTTTGTGGAGTATACATAACTGAAGATAATTTCTTAGTCCAATATGAAGTTCCAAAACTAATTGTGTTCCTTCAGATGCAAAATCCCCATGTTAAAATAAGAATTCCCACAGTTCCCATTGATTGGGTATAGTGTTCATTGTGGGATGCCATTGAGTCATTTAGAGGTGGGCTAGTGGAGCATGCAAACACTTGGTAGTTAGTGAACTTACTTTTCATCAGAAAAGCAAGCAGTTTGGCTAGCATAGAATATAGATGAAATTCTATTTTATTTAAATGACAAGTCACAAGAGTAGCAATTTTCCTTAAAAACCCTCACAAGTACTCGTCACATTGCTTACTCAGACTCTGTTTATTCATTTTAATGGACTTGAAGTCAGGCTAGCGTGCCATATTATAGGAAAGAAATAAACCCAGCACATTGGTCTCAGAAACAGCATTTACTAGACTACATATCAAGAGCAATAACCAAAAATTATATTTTCAATTAATATGCATCTATGATAAAGAAGTATTGACAGTTCTCTAAGAGGGGAAGAAGTATAAATGTGAAGAGTTTAAACAAGCTGGATACGCGTTTTCAAATTTTAATAAGCTACAACTGTACGCCATGCTGCATTTTATGAAGAAAAAAACCAATCCCTTATATTTACTAGTGAGTTACGTCAGTGTCTTTACTTATTAAAGAGGCACAATAGGCACCCAGGCCACCTAATCTCATGGAGTGGTGTGTGCGAAGTGCCCCTGACGTTTTGCTCCTGTAATGTAAAACATTGCCATTTTAGAGATATGCAATGTTTAGATTGCAGAACTAAAACACCTCTTATTGAAGGAACGTGACCGCTTATGCGGGGAAGGGGTTACAAAAAGGAAACAAACACAAAAAGGTATAAAAAAAATTTTAAACAATAGTTTACCCGTAGAATATTTCACATATACAGGATTTATCCAGAGTTCTTTATATATCATATTAAACTACCTATATAATGACTACAACAATAGTCCCATCCCCCTGATTCCACTTAACTCATTCAATCCAATTATTCTTATGTTGTTCACAAGTCACATCCATGCCTAAACCAATATGTTAACTCAGACCAGTGAACATGTTACAAATCTCTCTGCCTCAATAAAGCCAAAACATCCACCCTCTCATTTCAGATTTAAAAAAAAAATGTTTATTAGTCTCTGCATCTGCTATCTTTCTTTTAATTTATCCTCAAAGATCAGCTTATGGCATCTATTTAAGAACATCACCTTATGGCACCTACATTTGTATAATTATAGCTTCACTTCCAATACCAACAAGCACCTCTGAGCACAGTCATTGTCTCCTTTTGTTCCAGAGTGCCTAAACCTGTAAAGTCACTAATTATTAGCATTTTGTACACATGTGAAGAAATGGTTGATGCCTTTTAATTAAATCCCAAGTGAATTACCAATTTTTATATATAAAATTAGAAAGAAAAAAAAATAAACAGTTGAGAATGAATACAAAGTGTGCAATGATTTATTTATGTGACAAGACCTTGTGTAAGTTTACATACAGTCTAGAGCTCACAGAAGAAGAAAAAAATGTATGTGAATTAAATGTAGAACACGCTCATTATAAATAGAACAATGGTCTACAAAGCTTTCCCTACACCTGCTCTTGCATTGCATTCCTTAAGGAATCAATACACAACAGACTACAGAGGAAACAGCTGATGTCTACACTTTGATGCATCTGAAAGATAGAATGCCCTTTATTAATGAATTTGGTCCACAGTACATGCTTGTTACATGCAGTTGCACTAACTGTCTCTTTTTTTACATCCACTGCAAATCTTGAGCTTTAGAAAACAAAATTTCGGAGGACAGAATTTTTTTTTTATTTTTTTTTAACTGAATCGCAGTAATTTAAAGTTATCAAAACATCACAAGGAGCTTGATGCTGGACATCCTCATGCTGTGCACAATGATGTCCAATGTCTTGCAGAGGGCACTATAGTATTAAGAATATAGATCTCCTTTAACCCCTTAAGGACACATGACATGTGTGACATGTCATGATTCCCTTTTATTCCAGAAGTTTGGTCCTTAAGGGGTTAAACACACTCACAGTGCTCTGAGACTATGCTTGCTTTGCTTGAGCATTGATTCACTCAACAGAGGAGCCCGACCCATCAGTGAGGGACCTGAGCGAGTGTAAAAATATTTTTTTAACCCTTCATTTGCCACGGGGTGGGAGCAGAGGGTTCCATGGTGTTAGGAATACAGCTTTGTATTGATAACACTATAGTGTTCCTTTCACATTGAAATACACTTTGAATTTTCACTTTAGTTAATAACCCTGTCAGGGCCTTGCTGACTTATCTAAGGGACACTACTTGCATCCATTCCATAATTTCATCATAACTGGTTTATACATTCATTCACATGAAAGTATAGCACTATCAAACTCTGCAATAATTTAGTATAAAAATGTGGTGGGGGGGTTTGTCAAAAAATTATATACATGCACACATTTATATTCAGTACATGCATTATTGTGGAGAGTGCTTAGTCTAACATTTAAATGACTAAAACAATGATGCTAAAAACACAAAACTCCCAGAATTTCAAACAAACATATGCCTCATGGAATAAATCTATTTGAAATGCTGGAAGGTTTTGTAACAACATAAACCACTCTGAAACGATAAGTTACAAACCAATTTATAGAGTATAAAATGTAAGTCTCTAAAACAATGTAATGAAGCATCAATACTGTTCTTGGTTAGGTTTTTGAAAGTCCGTTATCTGTAGCCTACTAATATTTTACATTAACAAAGTGAATAAAATGCATTGCACTATTATTTAGGAAAGTATGAAGTCCTTTGCCCCCCTAACTAGGTACAGCCCTTTTTGATGAATCAGACATCCCTAAATGTAGGTCACAACGTTTTGCTGGCTACTTACCACCTAAAAAGTGTAGCTAGCATATGCAAAGTGCTGCTCTGCTGTATGCAGAATTAATGTGCTGCAATAATAAAATTTAGGGATGTCACATTCACCATGTTTTGCTTTACACATACCTCTTAAACATACAAAAGGATAGCCTATGCAAAGTGCTGCCTTGTTGTATGTAGAATTCAGATGCTGCAATAATAAAAATTGAGGGATGTCACATTCACCATGTTTCACTGGACACACACCTCTTAAAACATAAAAAGGGTAGCATTGGCAGAGTGCTACATTGTGTATACAGAATTCACATGCTGCAATGATAAAATCAAGCCACTGATTAGTGAAACATATTGCAGGATGTGAGTTCTACAGACAAGCATGGTAGCACTTTTTGTGTGTGTGTGTGTAAGCAGGAGACATGCTGGATCTGATAAGTCAAACTACATTTCCCATGATGCTCTCTGCCAGTATGCCGGCTCGGAGAGCATGCTGGGCAATGTAGTGTTTGCTGACAGCAGCTCCATATAATGGGGGGTAATGGGAGTTCAGACCTCCTCCCCCTCCTCCTCACACACAGCATCCCCAGCACGCACCGCAGGGACCCCGCGTGATATCACAGCAGACACGGACACACAGTTACAGCCACACAGGGCCCCGGCCGGTGTATACCGTGACAATAGGCACACCGCATGTAACAGCCCACAGCGGGCCTCCCTGTTAGTTATAACGGTGTGTCTACCCGCCTTAAAGAGATAAAGCCATAACTATATGGTGGGAAAAAAACAAATAATCCTCACCTCACAAACGGCCCATTTTACAGGGGTTTCCGTTAAAGAAGAAACCTTAATGGCGGCCGCATGATAACTGGACCTGGGAGACTGCCGGCGTCACGCGTCACGTGGGGGCAAGGGGCCAATCAGCGGGCGGCTCAGTCAGACGGGATGTGGGCATTATGTAAACAGAGCGGGCTGGGAGACTCACACACTTACTACTTGTGTATCCCTGGCAGCGGGGTCACTGCTGTGCGCTGTTAACCCTCACATGGACAGTGTGTTCATCAGGAGGGCACTCACCTCCATAGTGTGCCCTGTTTACACTCAAAATACTCCTGTTTTCTAGATTAATGTCCCTCTATTTATATATATATACATATATATATATATATATATATATATATATTTTATTTTAAAGAGCTCTGTAGTATGGGTGTATGAATGTATAACAGAGCTCCACAGCAAAATATGAAAACAAAACTCACAGTCAAGTGTTTGTAAACTACAATAAAAGTGTTTAGAAATCAGTCTGTGTAAATAAGATACGTTGTTTTTGTTATAAATTACATGTCAGTTGCGCACATTGTTTTTAGTAAGGCACCAAACATTTCTCACACCGCTAAAATTAAAGTGTCCCTGTTGGTCCAATTGCAATGCTAAGGGGTTTATCGTGTAGCTTTACATGGCCAGCGTTAGTTGGGGGTGTATAGTGTTGAACCTCTCCATATCGTGCACGCATGATATAACAAAATGTTTTACCTATACTACTTATTCAAACATGTTTGCTGAACTTGATTTTCTCAACATATTTATATACCTAAGTAATACTTACCATGTCTTGTATTTCTGCTGCACCTGTCTGATCTCCCATACCACATGCTTAGACATGTCTGTTTAACCTGTTTTGTTTTTTTTCTTGTTGAGTTTATCCTATTGTACTTAATATGCAAAATGTGTGAGCACTCCTAAAATCAAAGCAGAATCTGAATCAAAATCTCAATATTTAATATATGTATAATCCAAACACGTAATTGCAATAAAAAAACTAAAAAAAAACTAAAAGACAAACATTCAAGGGAGAATAATTTGTATTTGATATATTTTTTTTGAGAATCAATCAGGTCACTGCCATAGGGAAAACAAATGTGATCTGAAAAAAATTCACAAACACCAACTGATCAGATATACCAAATAAATGTCTATTTAACCCCTTAAGGACGGAGCCAAATGTACACGTTGTGAACAAAACAAAATGTAAACAAAACCTGGCATTTGCGCGATATGTCTGTCCAACTGTAATTCACCTCTTTCATATTAAATGCACCCACCTTTATTATATATCATCTTATTCAGGGGAAACAGGGCTTTCATTTAATATCAAATATTTAGCTATGAAACATAATTTAATATGAAAAAAATGGGAGAAAATAAGATTTTTTTAGTTCTACATGACATTTTAACTGTCAATGTCATAATACTGTTTGTTTTTACTGCAATAAAATACACATATTTGTATTCAGCAAAGTCTCACGTGTAAGACAGTACCCCCTATGTACAGGTGTTATGGCATTTTGGGAAGTTACAGGGTCAAATATAACATGTTACATTTGAAACTGAAATTCACCAGATTGGTTATGTTGCCTTTGAGACTGTATAGTAGCCCAGGAATGACATTTACACCCATAATGGCATACCATTTGCAATAGTAGACAACCCAAGGTATTTCAAATGGGGTACGTCCAGTCTTTTTTAGTAGCCATTTGGTCACAAACACTGGCCAAAGTTAGCGTTAGTATTTGTTTGTGTGTGAAAAATGCAAAAAACGCCAATTTTGGCCAGTGTTTGTGACTAAGTGGCCACTAAAAAAGACTGGACATACCCCGTTTGCAATACCTTGGGTTGTCTACTATTGCAAATGGTATGCCATCATAGGGGTAATTTTCATTCTTGGGCTACCATAGGGTCTCAAAGGCAACGTAACCAACCTGGCGAATTTTAATGTGAAAAAAATGAAACACAAGCCTTATATTTGACGCTGTAACTTTTGAAAACACCATAAAACCTGTACATGAGGGGTACTGTTGTACTCGGGAGACTTTTTTGTTTCAAAACAGTCAAAAGTATCGCAGCAACAATATCATCCGTGTAAGTGCGGTTTGTGCGTGAAAAATGCAAAAAACATCACTTTTACTGGCGATATCATCGTTGTAATACATTTTACTGTTTTGAAACACTAATATTTGTGTTCAGCGAACAGTAGAACAGTACCCCCCATGTACATGTTTTATGGTGTTTTGGAAAGTTATAGGGTTAAATATAGTGCTAGCAAATTAAATTCCCTTTACTTTCGGCATGGGTTGTCAGGCAGGTCCCGCTAATTATGTAAAAATATTACATAAATATATATGCAGAATTAATATATGTATATATATATATATACGTATGTGTATATATATGTATATATATATATAATTTTTTTAAAATATTTTTATTTATATATAGGTATATATATAGCGATATATACGTATATATTTATGTATATAGATATATATTATTTCGTTTTACGTGTTTTTGATATAAATATATATATATTAATATCACAATACAGTTAGAACGAAATAACACACATCTATATATTTTTTAATTATTTATTTTTAATTATTTTTTTAATTTTATTTTTTAACGTATTTACATATATTTTTTTATATTATATATAAATATATATATAACAATAATTATATATATATTTAATCAGTATTAGTCTATGTGTAATTTGATATTAATATATAAATAATTATATATATATTAATAGTAAAATACACCTAGACAGTGTATGTATATGTGTATATATATATATATATATATATACATATATATATATATATATATATATACTTAGATCATATATATATATATGATCTAAGTATATAATTTATTTATTTTTTACACTTTTTTTTACACTTTATTAATTTTATTTAATTTTATTTCCAGACAGCAGGGGGACTACCTGTCATTACAGGCAGCCCCCCTGCTGGCAATGCAGCAGCCAGCTATCCCGGCCATGTGAATGCGAGGTCCTCGCAAGGACCTCACTCTCACATGGCCGGGGGGGCTGCAGGAGGGAAGATCTGCTGCGGGGGGGCTTCCTGAGAGTCCCCCCAACCGCGATCACCGGCGTGGGACCGCTGGCGACCGGGTAAGTAAAGAAAGACCGGAGGGCGTACTATTACGCCCGGCGTCGTTTAGAGACGCCTAAAATAGGGCGTAATAGTACGCCCTCCAGCCTTAAGGGGTTAAAGGACCACTATAGTGCCAGGAAAACAAACTCGTTAATAGGTCCCCCCCCCACTCTCATGGCCCCCCTCCCGCCGGGCTCTAGGGGAGGAAGGGGTTAAAGGGTAACCTTTCTTCTGCGCCGGACTCCCTCGGCGCTGGGGACTCTCCTCCCTCTTTCGCCGCATGCGCGGCAAGAACCACCATTCCGTCATTCTTAATGCTTTCCTATGGACGCTGGCGTCTTCTTACTGTGAAAATCACAGTGAGAAGCACGGAACCGCCTCTAGCAGCTGTCAATGAGACAGCCACCAGTGGCTGAATTAACCCATATGTAAACATAGCAGTTTCTCTGAAACTGCTATGTTTACATCAGGCAGGCTGTGTAAAATGACACAGAGCACTCTGATTGGTGGATTTCAAACCAACCAATCAGAGTGCTCTGAGCCTAATTGCAGGGCAGGGCAAGGCTTTATAAGGGCAAGGCCTGAAGAGCTGGATCTTTTTTGGATGGATTTTTTTTTTTTTCGCTCGTTTTTTTTTTTTTTTTGCCAATTATTATGGTTTTTTTATTTGGCATTTTTTGGGGCTGAAAAAATATGATTTTAGAAGAAAACATTGAATGGTAAGTTTTTTTTACATTTTTTTTTACAGGTACTTAGTTAAAGGTCCCCCCTCATTATTTTTAGGGTGAGGGGGCTAGGTAGGGGGATAATTTTTTTGGGGGGGGACTTTTTTTTAGGTCCCCCACCCGCCGCTCAGGGGTGGGGGCCAGGGGGGAGCACATTAGGTCCCCCCTTATTAGTATTTAGGGCCTCCACCCAACGCTCAGGAGTGGGGGCCAGGGGGGAGGACATTAGGTCCCCCCCTTATTAGTATTTAGGGCCTCCTTCCGCCGCTCAAGGGTGGGGGACAGGGGGGAGGACATTAGGTCTCCCCCCTTATTAGTATTTAGGGCCCCCACCCTCCACTTAGGGGTGGGGGCCGGGGGGGAGGACATTAGGTCCCCCCCTTATTTTACCGCTCAAGGGTGGAGGCCAGGGCGGAAGACATTATATCCCCCCCCCTTATTAGTATTTAGGGCCCCCACCCACCGCTCAGGGGTGGGGGCCAGGGGGGAGAACATTAAGTCCCCCCTTATTATAATTTAGGGCCCCCACCCACCGCTCAGGCGTGGGGGCCAGGGGGGAGGACATTAGATCCCCCCCTTATTCTGATTTAGGGCCCCCACCCGCCACTCAGGGGTGGGGACCCGGGGGGAGGACAATAGGTCCCCCCCATTATTTTACATTAGGGCCCCCACCCGCCGCTCAGGGGTGGGGGCCGGGGGAAATAGGTCTCCCCTTTAGTTTAAAAGCCCCCATTCGTGCGTCGCGGGTGGGGACTCGGGAGAGGGGGGACACAGGCTGCTCACTGTTTAATAGACATGTCCCTACTTGCGGTATAGCGTGGTAGGGATTTCTGACGGGTAGGCAAAACTAACAACACAGAAAACATATTGATTCTAAAAGTATCCCTCTGTCACAATTTGTTCAAGAATCCCTTGTTACAATTCAGTCAAAAATCTAGATTATAACATTGATCAATTAAAGGGACATGAGTCAGTTTGAGACAACTGTCTCGTTTAAATGCTATCGGTTTGAATGAGACAGTTGCAACATTTCAAATTGACAAAAAGGGATACTTTAATATTAGGAGTTTGTGAGAAGGTGCAGCCAGGGAAGGTGCTGTTATGAGAAACTTTAGGTGACTTACTAATAACAACGTATAACTAAAATGTAATTCAAAACAAGAACAATGTACAGTCATGGGGAAAAGAAAGTACACCTGTGGGTACGCCAGCATTCTTGGCTTTCT